TCAGTCTGTCTAACAATTAGAGTCTTTCTATCGTTTGGTTTATTTTTCATTAAATCAAGCCAAACGAAAAGTGTTCAAAATTTATAAGAAAATCTACAAAATTTTCACACACTTATCTTACAAAAGAAAGACTTATGTTGCGTTTATTTTATTCGGGTTGCGATGAGAATATCGATAATCAGGTGGACGTTACTCGTCATATGTCGCATATTTTCATCGATTTTTGTAGAATTCACATCCCGTTTCCACAACCAACGTGCGGCTGACTTATACGCGTTAGAACTACTGAGAGAACTCGTTTCACGACTTTTCTCTCCATCGTATTTCCGAGGCGCGATGTCTCCTGGGGTGAAGTCAGTTGTTCCTTTCGCAGGTTACATCGAGATACTCCGCGTATCCCGGCGGATAAAACCCCGTCTTAGTAGGGATGATCCTACGAAATGGTCCCACGGTGGCCACGAATCGATTAGCGTCTGAAAGAACGTTGCTGGCATAAACCAAATTTCCTGCCCCGTTTTATCTCGTTATTTCGGCACGCTAAAGTTTGCAACGCGTTCTTTTGTTGCGACGTATGCCGAAAAGTAACTTGAAAGAGAAAAGGATGGTACCTTGGAAGCTCCTTCGCGATAAGATCCTTCGAGGATCGTCAAATAATCGCTTTTATTGTCGCGAAAAAATTGTGAGACAAATTTTTTTCCTTACGCGCGTAACAATTTGTTTAAAAGTGTCCTACGAATTCAAATATTATAAAATATAAATTATAAAAACATTATAAAATATAATTAGGAAATTAATTAATCTTCCTACGTATATCCAATGCTTTGCTTAATTTTATTTTATTTAAATATTAGCAGAAAAATTAAGCCATATTAGTGTCTATTTTTATTTATTATTATTATTTTGCTTTAATTTCATGCCTAGCGAAGTTACGTCATTCGCAGATCGATTCGCTGCACGATTACTTGCTCCGTGCTACGGAAGAAAATCGCAACTTTCCGCCACGTTTCGACATCAGTTAACGAAGTTCGTTCGGAATATTTCCTTTTTTTTTTTGTCCGGCGGAAGTTCGCTCTCTGTCGAGGATATCAAATCTTAGATTAATCTCTGACATGATGTATCGCAGAATCATCGATCTTCCCTCCTATCATAAGTTGCAGCATCTGCGTGAATGTTATAAATAAAGAGACGAAGATTGCATAATTCGCATGACTGCAGGATTATTACCACGAGGACTTTGTTATAACGAATCTGACGTTGAAACTAAGTCGCAGAACGTTCAGTCAGATTATAATGGCGAAACTGGTTGAACTCATAATAAATTAAGTTTTATTACACTACGGCGGAAGCAGATCGAATCTAATCTTATCTTGCTTTAATCGCCACTATCTCTCTCATACTATTATCGCTCGGGGGAATAATGATTTAGCGTTTGATAACGTTTACTACGATTCTGTTCGAGTGAGAGTAATCTATTGTTTAATTACTTAATTACTTTGCTTTTTTATTGATAGAAATTAATTTACTCACTTTAATTATTGAAATATATGTTGAAGAATAAAAAATTTTAACAGATGATATAAAGTCCCGCAAAATTTTTGCTAAAACAATTTATATTACATCTGAAAAACGCGTAATCGAATGATCCAACGACAAAAGTAGATCTAAAACTCGGCGAGGAAACGTCAATTTGCCGTATGTTTCGCTCGTACAGTTCCATGCGAATCAAACATTGCGCAAATATCTTCTCTCAAACTCGTTAGATTTAATTTACCGCTGAGCGAATAACCTGCGCGTTGCGTTTTTCTTCGCGGCTCTGGCACTTCCACGTTCGTGTTTTCCACCCCCGTGGCCGATTCCCGGTTCTCCATTTGGAAAGGGGGAAGATGCCCCGACGAAACGGATGCGGAAACGCGGTCGTGAATCGCTGCATTACGAGCCCGGCGCACTTTGCAACGCGCGCATTCACCGGCGAACCGCAAGAATCGCAGTTGGGTTTGAAAGTACGATGGAAATTAATTTGCCGAGCTTAACGAACCCCAAGGCCCACAAAGCAGCGGGTAGCTACTGACGGAACGTCGTGTTAATTACATTGAGATCAGTAAAAGTGTACGAACGGCGAGAACAGATGCTTACTTTGACAAGCAAAAAAATCGCGATACGCATTCAAATTCAAAGTTTTTACGCATCACCAAAATGCGTACCGTAATTAAATAAATTTGCGAAATGTTCTTAGCCATAGGATTCTTCTTTTTAATTTAAAAGAAGACCGCAACAAACTACCATTTTAATTCACGCAAACGTTAACTGGTAATCCCATCCATGGTCTTTTCTCGTACTCTCCGTGGAGCATAAATTATTAGCTCCTGTTTCGAAGGAAGGCTAATTTTTATCGTAACAAAGATTAATCCAGACCATCCTCGCGAGTCGTAAAATAATAAATCGCCGATTCCCCGGACACGTGTCTCGAGTGCCGCGGACCGCAGAGGATTACAAGACAGTCTCGCCGTTGGAGGTCGGTTGGGAAATTAGTTTCCGAGCTTAATGGAGTTCCGTGAGCGCGAAAGATGGGCACCTCCGAGGCGACGACTACCGACAAAAGTTTTCACAACTTTTGCAATTTTTTCAATTAGCCGCGATTTTTCAGCGGCGCGACGGAGCGCGCGGCGCGCTGAGAAATGAAAGCGCGAGTTTGCGAGTCCCGGTATTTGTTGGACTTCACTCTACTTTGTGATTCCGTTCTAACGACGTTACCGCGTATATTGGGAAAGTCAAGCGTCACGTTACGAAAGTCTTAGCAGCCCGCCGCGCGCGAGGTTTCTTTATACCGAGAGTCTGCAAGCACCCGGCCGCGGTCGTTCCATTCTTCCATTCTCGACAATAACCTTTCCGTCATTAATGGACCGTATTGTTGCGCGTTGTATCGCCCACGAAACCGCGACGAAGCCGAGCGGCAAATGCGTCTCGGCGTGATGGCTACTTCCTCCCCGACTTCCGATTTTGATCGCGTCGATGATTTACGAGTCCCGAAAGGCACCTGAAATTGTCGGGTTATTTCTAAAGACACGCTCGCTCAACTGCGCCTCACGATTATTTTCGGGGCACATCGATTCCCCTGTTTTTCTCATTTCTTTTTTTTATTTTTTTTTTTTTTTTCGTACGTCTTGATATCTACGTGCGTTTCGTTCCGCGCAAAAATTATCGCAGGATATGGGCGATTGATTTCGTATTTTAAGAAGGTTGCAATGTTTTCAGCGAATGGCGGTTGCATTGGCGCGCGAGGGAGACAATTTATTTGTATCGGAGCCAATAAGTCGATTAGATCGCGTTAGATCAAGTGGAACGACGACGGGAAAATTTTATTTATTTTAAACTCCTCCGCGAGACAGGCTCAGCGGTAAAAAAGAAAAAAAAAGAAACAAACCCTATTTGCTCGAAGGCGAGCTTATTGAAGGCCGTGCGAAACAAATGAAATCGGGGAAATCCTACCGTGAAATAGAATAATCTGAAACTGACATCGCTATCCTCTTTCGCGAGCGCTTAAATACCCTCGACGTTTCAATATTTCGGACGGGAGACAAAGGGGACTTCGTTAGTTAAGGAAACAAAGATGAAACTTCTCTTTTAGCGCGACAGATTTGGCGATTAATTTTCGAGCGGCGGCTAATAATTCATTCGTGCTTCGTTTTATTGCGAGAGCGCGGCGTAACCGCGATCGATAATGATGCGGCGATACGATGCTAATAAAGTCCAACGACAATTACGACGTTTAATTCGAATAACACAAGCGAGGGGAAGGGACTTACGATCACATCTCGTTCGATAGGGAATGATTTAGTAATTTAGTCTATGAACGGGGTTTTAGTCCATGAAACTTGGCAAAACGATAAGAAGTTATCTCGAATTAATTGGGAAACGGTGATAACTCATGGTAACCAAAGTTATGTCGTTCTGAGAATGTAAATAATTGTACCCCTATGCCACTCTAATTTTGAACATGTCACCACAGAGATAACGCAGTTTTGAGTAAATGGCCATGATAATGGCCATCTGGCCATGGCAAATAAACGGAATTGGATCACCAAGTGATCCATCAAAAGAGCGATATTTGCAGCACCTAAATGATACAAAGATATGAAAAACAAAAATGTTAAAAATCCGATTATATAATTTCATGGAACTTTTTCGGCTACATTTTGCACTCGTGCGATCGTCGCAATCTGATGTTGATCGGATCTGTCGTGTGAAACCCCCTTCGTCGGTGCTTTTTCACTAGCCTAACGAGGTCTTATTCGTCCGTCGCTTTTCATCGCGTTCTTAAAAGCATCAGTCGGGCGAATCTTAAAATTTCGTTTCCCTTTCGCCGATCTCATCGTCCTCTTTATATCTCTCTCGGCGCGAACATGATATCCCGACTGCATATTGGAAAAGCCGTCGGTCGGCTGATCAGATGAAGTCTCGTTTTACTCGACGTATCGAGAAAAAACGCATCGACATTTCCCCTTTTACGAGCGGTCACGCCACGAGGGAAAGGAAGGGATACCCTTAATAGGATGGAACGTAGAATTTCGCCACTACTGTTGATGTTAATGCAGCTTGCAGCGGCCGATCGATTAATTAACGTGGCTAGCACGATGTCTAATCATTGTTTAGACTATGGGGTACTTCCAACGTGCAAACATATGATATAGTGGATAATGGCGAGAGTAAATAGGGGCATACTATTTGCGTCACGGCATGCGGACTAACTGCGTGCAACGAGTTCAATTTGAGCAAACCGTTTCATTCTCGAGCTCGATATCTCTCAACGACGAGAATTTTCGCTCTTTGTCCGCGACATTTGGGTTAAATACACGATAAAATATTGAGAATATAATAAAAAATAAATAAAAGAAAAAGATTAATCGAATTAAGAATCAATTTTGATTTTTGTCTGACTCAGTTAGAAGTTTGAATCATTGCGGAATGATTTCAACGTTTCTTGTTTCTCTTTCTGATTGCAGGGCTTTAAGTAAGAATGCACAATGACGCAGCGAATTTATCCGTTGTCGATGAACCCCCGCGAGGGATCACCGGATATTCAAATGGAGACTCTCTCAAATCATTCCCCCCGCCAGGAAAAAATCCTCTCGAGGTGTAAGTATTTGTTATCGTCAGTTCGTATTTGTTGGCTTAGAAGCCAACTTTTTACTTGTCGCGTTTCATCCCATTGTTTGATATGGAATTAAGATATAATCGATTATAAAAGTGATTAGCAAAAGAATAAATATTATATATTAATTGGAAATTCAAAGGAATATTACTTAATTCCATATTGCACAATGTGATAAACAATTCAACAATTCACAAATGTGATTAAGTTTGAGTTGAAGGAAGTTGTGGCTTAAGGTATAATTAGTTCTTAATACTGTAGTTAACACAATAGTTTGTGTATTGTTTGCTTCAATGTTTGCACCAGCTTGCACGAAACATCTCGCGTTTTCGGATTGAATGATTATGATTATTATCGATTAGTATTATTATTATGGAGTGATTAATTAACATCGTTATATTTGTTTATAAAAGAGAATATCTTTTATATAATTTTTTAAATATAAATATGAAACATTCAGATTTTTTAAACAAAAATAATTCAACTAATTGCCACTGGATAAAATAAATTATTTTACTAAGAAATTGTAAAAATGTTACATAATATTAAGATTCATTCAAAATGTGAATTAAAATATTATACTTTCTGTTATATCGATAATAATACACTTAAACTCTTATTAATAGTCAATTAGTTTTGTTTATGATGACAAAAATTAGAAAACCGTTTCCTTAAGAAAGTTTTTGTTGAAAATAATGATGCTGTCTACTTTCAAATAGACTGGTATGTTTAATGAATACAAGTTCAGTGAATCCCATTTAAGTTTCTATAATAAAAGTGAGCTGCGAATTATTGAATTAAACTGCAGCTTCCGAGGAAAACGTATTAAGAGGCACTGAATGTCTCACTCTTGAAATTCCGAGTGAGGACTGGCATTCGTTTTAGTACTTTACTTTCGCGAGAGTCGCGACTAAGAAAGTTTCTCTGAGAGGCGATCGGTTACATAGAATCCTCTAAAGTACAGGAATAATTACTCTTCGAGGCCAAAATTGTAATTAAGAATTGCAATTAAAGATCGTCCGTATCTTACCCCGAACAATTTTATTACATTATTTTATAGTTTGCGTAAACGCGCCGAGAAATATTTTTGAACGTGCATCTCTACGTCGTGCATCTTCCGTTCCGTAGAGACTTCTAATAATTCCTGCAATAAATTTTCGCAGTTTTCAAACCGTCCTTCATCTCGCGCGAAAATACACTAACGCTAATACGTCGTCCTCAAGTATGCGCGACGCTGTTATTACTTCAGGTGGGAAAGCTTCCTATATTCCGTGCCGATCGTAGATTTGTCGGGGAAGTTTCTAACAGCAATTACGCCGCTAATGGAGCCCCCACGGAGAGATGCCGGTCGACTTTCGCCAAAGTCTCTCATCCAGGACTACTCTTCTGGTTCCTGGGCTTTGCGACGACGACGTCGAAACTTCTCGCGGATCCCGCTAGTTTTTGCGCTCTCCCGTTCGAATTACCCAGGAGTCTCCTGCATCCTCATTGATCTTTAAATTGCCGATTTACGAAGATCCTTCGACTAAAGACTCACGATTTCCAATCGAGAAAATGTTCTTCGACGACTCGTCGAATTATTTCCTTGGAACGGCAATAACAATCTTTAAAAATGCGATCGAGATAACTAAGATTATTACGTGTGTCAATGGCATTATCAATTTTTAGCGAAAAGCGTACTAACTCAATCGCATCGTGATGCAAGTGATATATGATTTCAAATGCATAAAAATACTTCCGTAATTCATTCCGTTAATTTCATTATCACGTCACGTTATCTCGCTTGAATAAACGGAGGTGATTTGTGGCACGCTTTGTATTTAAATGTGTCTGTGGATTTTGTGTGTATGGTATCTTGTATATCTCATTTCAGACACACAGCAAGACAAGGAGAAGGATAAACACGAAGTCGAATACATGCTACGGAAAAATGGCAAAGCAATGTACGAATGAGCTTGTTACAGATTGTGACGTATATATCTAGAAATAAATATATGTGGGATATAGAGACCGATATAATGGATCGTTGGGCGGCAAGGCATGCCAAGGCTTATTAACGTCTCGACGGCCAGAGGAGAATCGCATAAAACCTTTACGAACCGTATACTGTTTCGTACAGGGCAAACGCATGCTTTTACGAGGACGCTTCCGGCATCTGAAACTTCTCATTCCTTTTACCGTCCCGTAAAAGTAATCGCGCCGCTCGTTTATCGCTTTACTTTTTTCGTGGCTGCACGCAATTCCGGAGGCCGTGGGGTGTGTCCTCCTAATCTTATGGAACACTCGATCCGGATTCTCCAAATCCCTTTTTATATTACGAGAAATGTAATCCAATCTTGTTATTTCATCAATGAACTTCAGTGAAATTAGACGAGAATCTATCTCGTGTTTTTCTGATAAATTTGAAATAGTATATTCACTTTTCCGAATCAAAGCTCGCTGTCTGAGCATAATACACATAGGACAGATTAATCCGTTGAATAAACGATTTTTAATATCAAGGGGTTTTCGATTAATAATCGACTTGCATTTTGTATCCACAGGGAATTTACACCACCGCAAACGAAGGAGGAGACGAAGGATAAGCCAGCTTCAGAATCGCCAACGCTGGTACCCGTGCCTTACTACAAACTGGTGAGTTTTCCCTGCTGGAATAATTTATGAGGGTGTCCTCGAGCGAATTTCAAGCGCGACACTCTCTGCGGCGGAAGCCGGTACATTTAAGGAATCGAGAATATACGGGGTGTCCCCGATAGTTCTTCATTCTTTCTTTCTTAGATTTTTTTTTTTTTTTATCGAAAGCCGAAACGGCTTTTCCATCAATTTTGTCAATCGCTTTATAACTGGAGGACTCATCAACGTGTCGATATTTCTCGTACGACAGAGTCTCCAAGTCCGCGCGACGAGTGAAGCGTACGCGAACGGAGATTTAGCACACCCCGTACGTGCTTTTTCTACAACGTCGCGCTATAAACGAAATGGAACACATATTCCGGGGTGAAGTGATCCGCCGGAGTGAAACCGTTAAGAATGTTACTTTTCTCTCGATCGCGCCGACTGTGGAGCATCTTTTGAATGAGCGACAATGACAAATGGCACGTTCTCCGTGATAAACGACAGTTAATGACTCATTGCCGGGATACATTTGTATAATATTTTCCGCGTTATAATTCCCACTTAATAGACCGTGAGGACCTCTTGCACGCCCGGGAATTAAATCCCGAACGATATTTTTCACGACGACCATAAATTCGAATACGTTTTTCGATCAATTATGATTGTTCTTGCGTAGAAGTAGTTGCGTGGGCCGTGCTCGTTAATCATGGTTAGTCGAGTATTAATTTTGCAAGCTAAATCTCTCGGAAAGCGCGAATCCGCCGCTGCTGAATCATTCAAAAACGCGCGAGTTCGCCGCGCTGAATCACTCGGAAACGCGCTTACTTTTGGAAAAAGAATCCCTCGCGTAACCCAACAAATTATCAAATCATAAATAGCATTAATCGGCGGACAGGATCTTAGTATCAAATATTTTTTTTTTTTGTTGAATTAATAAATAATGATGGGCAATAATAGTGCAAGTGAAAATCAGCGCTGTCCATTATTATAACACCGAGAATCCTTTTTGTTAATAATTAATATATAAATTCAAGACAAATGTTTACATCGCCAAGTATTAAAATACCGAACTTACAACAATTATCAATTTATTTCTTAATAAATTGATAATCAAATTTGAAAGCATATCTTAATAAATATCATACACTTGTATTACTGATAAATTATAAAATGCGACGATAAAGCATGAAACGATATTAAAAAATTGTGTTGTAAATCATCGTTTTCAACTTATCAGTTTCGATTTGCGACATGCGGCGAGTTGATACTGATCGTCATAGGCTTACTGATGGGGATCTTGGTAGCCTTGGGCATTCCAGCTGCAATCATCGAGTATGGTGAATTCACCACGCTCTTAACAGATCGCTCTAACATGAATAGTACTTGGACTACACCAACCGTCATATTGCCATGGTTTGGAGGTGGAAAGATTTTGTAAGTAAAATATTTCATCTCTCTATATATTTTTAAGAATTAAAAATTCTGGAGGACACGACGTACATTTTATAACGATCGCGACAAGAAGAGATGTTACAGCGCGACGATTCAAAATGGATGTTCCTCGAATGTCGGATCGCGCAGGCAGAATATTTTACTCTGAGCGTTATTTATTCCAGAGGTCCTAATGCAACTTACGAAGAGAAAATGGACGCTCTTTATGACGACTCGGTAGCCTTCGGCGTGGCCTGCGCGACACTGTCGGCGATTATGTTCATTTTCAGCACGATAATGGTCGACTTGCTTAATATGGCTGCCACTAGACAAATCAACAGGGTACGCAAGATGTTCCTGAAAGCAGTCCTTAGGCAGGATATGGCGTGGTATGACACGAACACGTCGACGAACTTTGCGAGCAGAATCAACGAGTGAGTTTTTCTTTTCTTTGTCATTACGCAGATTACGAATCTCTCGGCCACGAGATAAAAAAAATTGATCGATTCGCTTATTTATAATAGATACTGTTAAAAATAATACAAAAACTGCGAATTTTTTCGCAGTTTAAAATTTTAATATCTCAAAATCTTACAAACGGCTCTTTTCGATGTCAGTCGAAGATCCAGTCGAGATCAACAAGATTCGATCTCCTTTGTTTTCGCAAAATAATTTTAGCATAACGTTCCGTATCTTCCCGCATCGCTGCGTAGTCAAAGGGAGTACGTTGTACCTTCGATTTTCGAGACCGTCCATGTAAACGCGAGACGCGAACGCGGGGAAGCGAGGGGCAAAGTTCAGGAGGCGAGAATCGGTGTGTTCATCAACAGGTGGGCGTTTGCTCGAAACTCGAAAAGCCTGTTCCCACACTGTCTCTGCCTCCGTTCGCATTACACTGTATAGTAATTAGATGAGCGATTCTTATTAAGTTATTAAATCACATGTCAATTTTTATCTTCAGCTCTCCGTTATTCCGCCCTGTCATTCCTTATATTTTTATATTGCGATAAAGATAGGAATAAATCATTGCGCTATAATGTATCGTTAAGACTTGTAAACAAACATGATGCAATGTCATTCAGCATTTTGCTATCTAAAGAATATATAGAAATGGCCGATCAAGCTATCGATTGTCTGGCAATAGCTATCGTTACATAAAGATGTTTAATCTTGCCAGATGTGCTGAAAAAAATATAAGATAGCGATAACGTTAACAGACGATAAACGTCGATCTTGATTAAAACTCGGTTTTAAAACTTCGAATATATGCTTGACTTTAAGCTAAACCTTAGGATCTGATTTTGATTATATAGAAACTGATATTATTAAATCGAAATGAAGTCGTATAAAGAAAAATCAAAGGATTTATGATTTTACTCAGCTATTTATTCAGCGTCAATCTACAGCGAAAAAAATGATAATACAAATCGCCTGCTTTGACAGTGATTTGGAGAAGATGAAGGACGGCATAGGGGAGAAGCTAGCCATTTTCACGTATTTGATGACTTCGTTTTTCGCTTCCATCATCATCTCGTTTGTATACGGCTGGAAATTGACCCTGGTGGTGCTAAGTTGCGCACCAATTATAATCATCGCCACGGCCATAGTGGCTAAGGTACAGAGTTCTCTCTCAGCTTTGGAACTAGCGGCTTACGGTCAAGCTGGTAGCGTCGCCGAGGAGGTTCTCGCCGCCATCAGGACTGTGGTTGCATTTAATGGCGAACAGAAAGAGGTGGAGAGATATTCGGAAAAACTCGTGCCCGCGGAAAAAACTGGCATTAGAAGAGGGATGTGGTCCGGGATCGGCGGAGGTGTCATGTGGCTCATCATTTATCTCAGCTACGCGTTGGCATTCTGGTATGGCATTTTATCGCGGAAAGTCACGTGGCGCGCGTGCGATTATTTAAACAAATTTGTGCAGATGTAGCTATCTTTTAAAAATTGGATAACTAAATTTAGATGAAGTATCAACGCGTATCACGCTCGTCGTAAATGAAAATTCAGTTTAAGATAAGATATATAATAATTCTATCTTCACTCAGTGAGGTGTATTAAAGTTTGATTGTTCTGACGTTATTATCTGTCATTATTTCGTTTCGGATTGTAGCTTCTCATATTTAACAATACAAAGTATGAAGTAATTATCAACTGTCAATAAAAACTATAAAAGCTACACATGGATTATTGGATATTTACATTTTGAAAGAGCGCGATTACTTTTTACATGCTTCGACGAAAAAAGCGTTAGCTAGCGTCGAGGACGTGTCGCGTTTCAATAAAAAACGGATTTCTCTCTTCACAGGTACGGCGTGCAATTAATTCTGGACGACCGCCCGAAAGAAGTGAGAGAGTACACGCCAGCGGTACTCGTTATCGTGTTCTTCGGCGTTTTGTCAGGTGCGCAAAACATGGGTCTTTGCTCTCCGCATTTTGAGGCTTTCGCGATGGCGAGAGGTTCGGCGACTGCGATTTTCAATGTTCTCGATCGCGTGCCGACGATCGATAGCCTCAGCAAGGAGGGCCGACGTCTAGACTCCGTCAATGGCGAGATCGAGTTCAAAAACGTCGCGTTTAGTTACCCGGCGAGAAAGGATATCCAGGTGCTCGAATCGTTGAATTTAAAGATCAATCGCGGTGAAACAGTGGCGCTTGTAGGCGGATCCGGCTGCGGAAAATCCACGTGTTTACAGTTGATTCAAAGACTCTACGATCCTCAAGATGGACAGGTTAGTGACGAATTTTTTCAATCGCTGAATTTTTTTTCCTCGCACCAGAAAGTGGACTCGTCGCTCCGTTAGAATTATCGGTGTGTAGTACGAGGAACGTGTTATTTTAGGCACATAAAAATTTGGGATATTGCATTTTATATTTTTTGTTTATGCAGTGGACTTACTGTAAACCAGTTTACGAGTCTTTAATGGCAAAAGCGTAGAGACCGCGCAGCGCCGTGACGGGCGTTGTTACGTGCGGGAACAAAGTTAATAACCGCACATATAGCGCCATAAATGTCCGAGTGACGTTTTTATCCCTCGCGAAATTACAGTGACACTGAATAAATGGCGTTGCGCTGCGGTAATTTACTTGGCGTTATTCAGAAAATAATTGTTTTATAGCCGTCATTCCCGTATTATATTTTCCATAATTTTCCATAGAGCCGTCGAACGTCGTCTTCGAGCGTTATCTTACCGCTCGGTGTTGGCTCACTTTCTCTGTTTATGTTTTCACAGCGGTGAAAACTCGCGGAAAATTCGCGATGAAAACTCTCTCTGCGTCGCGTTTTCACACGTATGAGACAATCGATGTCGCTAGGTTTTTGCCGCACGATCGACATCTCCGTCGCGCGATAGAGAACGCCATCGCGATGTTATTATTAACGCGGCGCGATTTTTATACGACGTCAAAGTAGTTCCGCATACATTAATGCGACATCCCGCGTGTAATAAACATTTTATGTTTTATACCCTGCAGCTTTTTACCACGTTTTACCCAACGAATATATCACGCTTGTGTGTTCGATAAAGTTACCAACTAGAAGTTCACTTTTAGTTACGTATAACATTAAAATGTTATGCAACTTAATGCATTCTCATGGATCATTTCCGAGTCACATTTTATTTTTTTTAGAAACACATAGTAACTATCTATTACACGTAACAGCTGTAACCGCTAATTTTTCCCTTCGCATTAAAAAAGATAGAATTATTCGCTTAGAAATTACACAATTAACCGCAGCGTCTGCTTTCATACAAATGGAATTTCTTCCGCGTCGTCACTCGACTGTCGATTCTCGTACTGTTTAGCATTTTAATACGGTGCATATGTGAAGGAGAGGACAATTTCCAAGAATTCCCGTATTTTTCCCGTGCAGGTCCTCCTCGACGGAGTCGACGTGTCGACACTGAACGTTCACTGGCTGCGCTCGCACATCGGCGTGGTCGGTCAGGAGCCGGTGCTCTTTGACACAACGATACGCGAGAACATCCGCTACGGAAATGACAGCATTACCGAAGAGGAGATGATCAAAGCCGCGAAGGAAGCGAACGCTCACGACTTCATCAGCAAACTGCCGGAGGTGAGCATCGCCGCCCTTTTCTCGTATTCCAGCCGCGCCCTTTGCCCGTACGGAATTATAGCTTCCTTTTGGTCGTGGCTTCGGCGTGAGGTTCGATTGATTCAGCCAGTTTCATCGGGAAGTCACCAGAGCCGGCGGATACGTCGGGCTTGTCACCCGACTGAAAAGCCAACGAAGATATTGTACCCGTCGACATTGTCTCCCATTCTTGTCTTCAAAAGCTTCAGCGCGTTTTCTCGGGGTATATTAAAACCGAACAAACGCAGAACAAACGTAATCGTCAGGAAAGATCGATATTATTTAGAATCACGCATAATATGATAAGTCATGAAAAATATTAAAAATCTTTTCGTCCTTTCATCGCCCGTAGAAATTTATCGTCGTGAAAAGCCGCGTTGTTTTGCCAGCCGACGAAGTCTAATCTCGTTAGGTGAGTTTTGAAATTTCTATGAGCATATAATTAAATTGGCAATTGACGAAAGAGCTGACGTAATTTTCCTGAATAATTCCCGGGCTGAAAGTAACCGTTGTCATCGAGTGCGCGTTGCGATGTGTTAACAATAGTCTCAGGTGTGCCGGGCAGTACGCGTGCAAACAGGCGATAAAACACGCGTGTTAAACCATGCACGGTGCAAATAACATTATCCGAGATTACGCCTGTGTCAACGATTAGGCGTTTATTAGCGGATTATCGGTAGGTGAATTCGATACTCGCGACGGTCCCATTGGATCGCTGCCCGCGCTCCGCGCGTTTGCACACATTTAGGATTTATCCCGTTACGTTCATACACACGCGCCGCTGTTTAATCGTGCAGCTTCCGCCGGAAAAACGGAAAATCTCGCACGAACGCCTCGTTGCGAGTTCATCGGAGTCGTGATTAGTCGCCTACATTTCGGTAATACCGAAATAATATTTCAGAACTGCATCAAATCTATTAAATCGCGTTGAGTGTAAATTGGATTTGATCGACATTTGCTCGGTGGAAATCCGTTAACGGGAAGCTTCTAGCGCTTTTTGTTAGATTCGACAGCTTGGGGGAAGAACTTCACGATCCGTGAAACGCTGCTATCAGCGAACGTGTCGCAGCTTGCGAATTTATTAAACGCCCGTCGCCTATGCACCACCCAGATGTGACATGTTGTTTTGCCTTTGATTAAATAACCGTTATTTCGAACCACAAATCGCTCGAAAGCTGTCCCCGGGCGATTGATGGCACCAATATCACCATAACTGTGAGCGCGAAAAGCGTAAGTCCTGTAAGTTTAAATAAAAAAAAATATTACGCTAGATGAAAAAAGAATAAAACCGGCAAAAATTTACGACGTTGTATCGTGTTCGTAAAAATCTTTCTTAAAAATTTAAGAAAAATGTGCATGCTAATAATAATCAATTTGGGAGAATTTTTCTTGGTCCCGAAAATTATTTTTTTTTTTTTTAAATACGCTCTACGGTGTCGCATTCGTTCTAATGTCAACTCGCGCACGACGATCGGGAGAATGAAATGGCCGGTTTGTGGATTTAGGGATACGACAGTCCTGTGGGCGAAAGAGGCTCTCAGATGTCAGGTGGACAAAAGCAGAGGATCGCCATCGCACGTGCGTTAGCGAGGAATCCGGCGATACTTTTGTTGGACGAGGCGACGTCTGCATTGGATGTTCACAGCGAGGCGACGGTGCAAAGAGCTCTCGACGCGGCAGCGAAGGGAAGAACGACGATTATAGTCAGCCACAGACTCTCTACGATTACCAATGTCGACAGAATCGTGTTTATTAAGGACGGAGTCGTCGTCGAGCAAGGAACTCACGAGGAACTGATGGCACTTAAAAAACATTATTACGGATTGCATGCCGCCCATGTGGAGGCCGCAGCTAAAGGTGCGCTTTCGCTCGGGAGCAAAGTTTGTATCGATGTTTTTTTCCATAAGTAATTCCACAATTAATTTTTCACATTCGCTATTAGATAAAGCCACGAGGGCTGCTGCCAAGGCCGCGCTGTCAAGCCCGATAGCGAAGGCGAAACCGCCGCTGAACAAACAATTCTCAACGTTATCCGCGCATTCCCATCGACTTTCGCTCGCGAGATCTGAATCCTCGGATGGCGAGATCGAATTGGAGGAACACGAGAAACCTTACGACGCGCCCATGACAAGGATTTTCGGTTTGAATAAACCGGAATGGCTATTAAATATAATCGGTAATTTCTAACTAAGCAAGAGCAATGATATAATAGCGTGTTAGTGATAAAATTTGTTAACGGCTCAGATTTAAAGTGCAAAAAGAATCAAACAGTGTTCACATTGATAAAAAAAATAATTCACATTTTATATAATTTCTTCTTTTAGGAAGTATCGCGGCAACGACGGTGGGCGCTTCCTTCCCAGCCTTTGCCGTACTGTTCGGTGAAATCTATAGAATTCTGAATCTTCCGGATCCCGAGGAGGTCATGAGGCTGACCGTTCTCATCTCGATACTTTTCATCGTCATTGGCATAATCACGGGTATCAGCACTTTTCTGCAGATGCACATGTTCGGCCTGGCCGGTGTACGTATGACGACGCGAATAAGAAAGATGACGTTCGCCACGATGCTGAAACAAGACATGGGCTGGTACGACGAGGATTCTAACAGCGTAGGCGCGCTCTGCGCGAGGCTGGCTTCTGATGCTGCGGCGGTCCAGGGTGCAACTGGAACTCGCGTCGGTTCGATGCTCCAAGCGTTTTCGACTCTCGTCATCGGAATCAGCATATCCCTGTCTTACACATGGAAGATGACCCTGGTCTCGATAGTATCGATCCCGCTGGTGCTCGGCGCGATAATCTTGGAAGCGCGAGTTATGGGCGGCATAGGTATGCGGGAAAAGAAAAAGATGGAGTCGGCCACCCGGGTAGCCGTCGAGGCGATAACTCACATACGCACGGTCGCCAGTCTCACCAAGGAGGAGGTCTTCTATCAGAAATATTGCACGGAGCTGGACCACGTTGCTAAAGCGAATAAAGTAAAAAGCAGACTAAGGGGCATTGTATATTCGTGCGGACAAACGGCACCGATATTCGGTTATGCCATAAGTCTCTTTTACGGCGGTTACTTAGTGTCCCAAGAGGGCCTGGCTTACGAAAAAGTCATAAAAGTATCGGAAGCATTGATCTTCGGCTCGTGGATGCTCGGACAGGCACTCGCCTTTGCACCGAACTTCAACACGGCCAAGATCTCGGCCGGCAGGATCTTCAAGCTGCTCGACAGAGTGCCGGAAATCACCTCACCGCCAGGATCAGAGGGAAAGGATTCAGACTGGGTGAGCTCACTTTGATATATTACAGTGTAAACTCGGTTTTATATATATAAGCCGTCAGCATACAGCGTGTGTTTTGGGCATTGCATTTCCCTCCGTTATGTGTATATATTTAGTGGCGGTCATTAAATAAATAATATTTGCGAAATTCAAATCGCAACTGCCTTTAAACCGCATGTTTAATGTTGAATAATAATGAACGGAAGATAAGACATGAAATTAAATTTTCATCCAAGATAAATAGGAATTTAGCCAAAAGAACGTAAAACGATAAAACGTAGGTAGATATGTATGTAACTAGTTTTAATTTTTAATTAGTCTTTTACAAAGTTAATCGAAATTTGCATGACATTAAACACAGTATTTAAATTGGCTACTGAATCGTAAAATTATTAGCCTTGGTGATTTGTTTTAACGCACGAAACCGACGAATTGTTATTGGACACTAGCGATCCTTGTATTTTATTGTCGAATAATTTCTCTAGTAAATTAAGTAAATAAATCCTCAACTAAATTAAACTAATTAAATTAAATAAATTAAGAGCAAAGGTACTTTATATATAAAAAAGAAAAATATTCCGTTTTATATAAACTTAAAAATAATTTCAAGTTAATGAAATAATTAGCAGCGGTACATCTTTTCGCTCTTTCTATGTAAAAGTGTTTTATTATTATCTCGTTGGAGAAAACAAAGTCAAAATTATGTAAGATTTGTCATGTATTACGTACTAAGTACCCTATTATCTAACGAATTATTAATGGGAATTATTAACGGGATTTCTAACGGGTCGTATAATTTATAATGCACTCGATAAACTGCTTACGTAATCACGTTCTATAATCTACACACGAGTTGCAAACGGTTTTGATGGTTTATGAAATGCACGTAGCGGACGCGCAAATTAATCCGATGATTACCGCGACGCCTTGCCGTAAATGTCACTGATTGCCGGATGCATGTTTAATCTTCGCATCAGAACGCGGTTTTTCTGTTTCGTTTGCGGTGAATCGTGTTTGCAGAGCGAGCGCGAGCGCGAGTCGACGTGTCTCTGTAAACGGTATAATATCCGCTAGAAATTTACAACCGTTTGATAGCACCGCTCCGAGCGGCGTCTCATTAATTACACTCGCGAAAACGCGGAACTGATTTCGCCGGGAGCCAACACTTGATATTTGAGAATACTTGGCATAAATTAAATGGAGCGTAGTACTCGCGCTTTAAGTGTCTCCAAATCATAATCCACTCGATCGTGCCATTGCAATAATGTCCCTTCACGATTTCTATTCTGAGAAAAGAGAAGAAAAGAAAGAAGAGATGAAATGAACTTCTTCCCTCTCTTTCTTCGCTCTTTCCGTATCGCGGAACTTATCGCGAAAGGCAAATGACGCGTAAATTACAGGATTAACACGAATCTCCAATTTTCTCTCGACTAACGAGTCGCTTTGTGTTTTTGCCTCGCGCAGAAGGCGGATGGCTTGATACAATTCTCGAAGATCAACTTCCAATACCCGACGCGGCCGGAGATGTCGGTACTCAAAGGGCTGAATCTAATCGTGAAGCCGGGTCAGATGGTGGCTCTTGTAGGCCAGAGCGGTTGCGGCAAGTCGACTTGCATCCAGTTGCTGCAGCGGCTCTACGATCCCATCTCCGGCACCGTGACATTGGATCGGCGTGACATCGCCTCGGTTTCGCTTGCCACACTCAGATCACAGCTCGGCGTCGTCGGGCAAGAACCTGTCCTCTTTGACAGAACGATCGCGGAGAACATCGCTTATGGCGACAACAGCCGACAAGCGTCCATGGACGAGATCATCGAGGCCGCCAAGATGTCGAATATACACAACTTTGTCACATCGTTGCCATTGGTTAGTTCGTTCCCGTCACTATTGTGCTATACGCAGCGAAAAGCTCGGAGATTATGGAGAAAAAAAAAAGGGGGGGAACAAAAAGCTTTTCATACTATTAACATGCGAGTATTAAAATATTAAATTTAATAAACGCACTAACATCGCACGCCGTCAAGGGATTTCGCGCTGCTATTGTATGTAAATATAATTATACGTCATAATTGATTTTAAATAGTATTTAAAAAGTTATAATTGTTTTAAAAAATTATAAATAAAATATGAAAGCTATGAGAAGATAAATACGTTAATATTTTGTAATTATATTATTAATTGTTATTAATATTCTACAATTCTCTCTGTCTCTCTATTTCTCTTATGCACGCATAGATAAATATAATTCTATTTTTACTTTGCTTAGGGTTATGATACCAAATTAGGATCCAAGGGTACTCAACTAAGCGGCGGACAGAAACAACGGATAGCAATTGCACGTGCGCTATTGAGAAATCCTCGAGTTTTGCTATTGGACGAAGCAACATCAGCCCTCGATACGCACAGCGAGCAGGTAAGAACTGTCACGCTATTTTTTCAAAGAAAAAATTATTTGCAAATAATTTTCCTTTCTTTAGCTCAACATCGGATAATAGGTTTTCCTTTTTTTTTCCTCTTTTTCCAAATGGCATATTATCTAAGAAATATAAAATAAAAACGTGCACGCGACCGTCTTTAGAATAAAAACGCGTCCATCGCGTTCGTTATGCAACATCTGCAGGAAATCGTTTATTATTGTGAACAAAGCGTCATCTGCGAGATCTGCGAAGTGGAACGATCTCCATCCGGATGTGCTCAACTTTCGCTTTTTGCTCGGTGTAGCGTGTACGATTTCTCAATTAACGGTGTACCATAATTCCCGAGATTGCGTCTCGGTACGAGATCACGCTGCAACTCGCCGATGATGAGATCGACACAACGAAAATTGGAAGTCCAAGATTGAAAATCGAAGGAACACCGCCGTTATCGTTCTCATGAAAAGCCGACAGGCGACGGGTAATCGAGTTAATGGTCGTCGAAAGTGAAAGAGACGGTTTATTCCGCCCACACGTCTCCCTCGGGCGTCGTTCCTGGGTTTCCTTCACGATTTCCGTCGGCGGAATCGCATACTTCATAACAGTTGCCATAATCGTTAAGGACGTCTATAATATAGTCGCGCGAGATTTCGCCGTTTCAGTCGACAGGAAGATGATTTACACGCGGTACTTTTCTTTTTTATTACGCTCGTGGATTGCATTAAGCTAGCATCAAGTTTTTAGGTCAATCCGTTTTTGCTACGCTGCTCTCCTTTTCTTTGTACGAGACAAGTGTAGTCATACGGAGAAATAAAAGAAAAACGCGAAAAATACGATTAAAATAGATGGGTTATTAAAAAAAAATCCAAGAGTTATTTTTACACAAATGTAAGCTGCAAGATATTTGGAAAATTAATCACGCAGGATTGGAGAAATGAAAAATCTCGTAATGATGATTGAATTAATTTCTCGTATATGTAGTGATTTGAGCGAATTGTTTCGCATTTTTAATCAAAAGGGGCGTCTATTGAAACAAACGCGCATAATACCGAGTAAATACCGCGGAACTATGTTGCAAACGGAACTATTTCCGATAAGCAATAACGGGCGCGATAGTCGGCGGGGTTGGATAATAAATATCTGAGTATTTATATGATATCCACCGCAAACGCGGACCATCGACTGCGCGGACGATCTAAACTATCGCGCGGAACCGAGCGCGGACGCGCCGATGAATATTAACGACGAGACCCAGGTGGATTTAGATAAAAAATACAGGTAAAAAGAGTGAGCCAAAGTGCGCGTGAGGAAATAAAGCCCGCGGTCGCGCATATTACGCGCAGTTCTATACGCGACACGCATTTTGTATGATAATTCCGACATGTTCGATTAAAACCCCGCTGACACTCGCGCGGATCAACCCTCTGTCGCGGGATGGCGCAAATTGCATAGCCGCGCAATTACATCTTTCCATTTCCGTGCGTAAAGCAATTCCGTTAAAAAAAATACCGCTATAATCAGTCAAACAACCCGGCAAATCTCGATACGGACACATAATTTTTTTCATACACTCTCCCCCTCCCCCTCTTCCCCTCTCCCGTGGTCCCCTCTCTCTTTTCCTCACGCTTTCTCCTTCTCTCTCTCTCTCTCTGTCGATCTGTCGAATTACCGGATGAACTGGCTGCAACGCCATTGTCGGTATTATCGGCGCTAACAATCGGAAATGCTCGGCTTTACGAGCAAGCGGTTGTTGCACCCCCTCCCCGTCCCGATCAGGAAACGGCTCGTCGCGGCCAAATGAATTTCGCGGCAATATTGTTTCCGCGCCGACTCTCTCTCTCTCGGAATACAATCCCAACGGCGCCCATCCCTCCTTTTGTCGCCGGTATCGGTGAAACGAAAGCGGGAAAATGCTTACGTTCGATTAGCCCCGCTAAAGCACGCCGAGTCCCGAATCGCTTCCCCGATTTAAACTGCGTGTTCCACGTTAACACGGCCGCTCGCGTTAATTGCTCCGCGTTTACGAAATTAGTTTTGGAAGATGTGCTGAATAATTTATATCCCGGGAAACGCAAGGAACACACGCGCAGCGTTGTATTATTAATGTTAATTTGTTTTTAACACTTCCCGTGCTACTACGTGGCACGCCCCCGCCTCGCGTAATGGATCGATGTCATACATATGCAACGCGCGATACTGAATGTTTAAGTTAAAATTTATACCGTACTATTTTATAAATGAATTACGTTGGCTTCGAATAATTTTTTATTTTGTTAAGTATACAAATCACATTGCGTAAAAAAAAAAAAATAACAATTTTCCGCTTGTAATTGTGGCTTAGCGAAATGATATAATGAAAAAGTCATATATTGCCCATTGGCGGATTATTCCAACGCGGATGATTAATTCTTAAGTCATATTTTAATTCAAAATTGCATAAAAATCTATATTGAAATAAAGCATTTTTCAATTATGCGAACAATTTTCAAATAAAATATTCAAGGCGTACGAAATCTTCGTTGAAAATTCGGTAAAAAAAAATTAGATAAAACAGGAGTCAACTTAACGATCGTTTCACGTTTGCATTCTCGCTGTTGTCGCGCGCTCACAACGTGTTTCCGAAGAATACCTATCACATTAACCGATATTTTCTGCGTGCAGGTCGTGCAGGCGGCCCTAGACAAGGCCATGCAGGGCAGAACGTGTATCACCATAGCCCACCGTCTGGCAACCATAAGAAACGCCAACGTGATCTGCGTGCTCGATCGGGGCACCGTGGCCGAGATGGGCACCCACGACGACCTGATGGCGGCTGATGGTCTTTACGCTCACTTACACACTCTCCAAGAGTCCTCTATACAATAGTAGAAGAGCGACACGGCGTCGGATTTCTTCGCTTTTTCCTTCTTCGCGCGACTCAGCCGTGATGGTGGATCGAGCGTCTTGGAGATGTGAAACCGATTCGGAGACGATGTGAAAAACGAATAAGAACGGAACGAACGCGAAGAGTCCACAGAGCGGAACTCGAACGGCCGTGATCGCCATCGTCGAAAGATTCGCGGACCGCAAGACATCAAGGAACACAAACAATGTCCAAAGGAACGGAAAGCCGCCAAGACGGAAGATGGATTTTGTAGGTTTGCTCTCGTGAAGCAGCCAATGATCCATCCTACGTGTCGATTTTATGAACGTGACGACACGCAGCACCGTGATTTAAAATTACTGATCGAGAATCGAGCAACGTATTTTCGACGGAAATCTGACTCTCGCAAATAAAACTTTGAAATCTTATCAATATTCGTTTCTTTTTTTTTAAATTGTTGGATTTGGTTTTCAATCAGTGAGACAATTGATTGCAAAACTTTCGATCGAGACTATCACTGATCATTTTATTTTTTTTTACACGAGTATTAATAAATTAGTAGGATCTTAATCTTTTTACAAAATTATCTTTTTTATTCTATCTCGACTGTTCAACTCGTCTATTCCCTCTTAAATAATTTAATACAAATTATTTGCTACGGCTGTTAGACTTAAGCCCTCCGTTAAAGACCTTTTTATCGGAGGGCATGCATGCTACTTCTCCTGGCGGCCACGTTACTTCATTAGGCATCGTATCTCGCTCACCCACGTAACGATCCATCCTTCTAGGCGGCGAAACGTTATCCATAATGGCAGGCGATGTAATAGACTTTACTGTCCCTCTACCCCCGCCGTTATTCGTATGCGTCGACTTTCCTCCGTAGCGTTTTCTCGGGTGATATTTCTTCACACACGAAGCGCAAACTTCCTGCGATCTTTATGAGAGCCATCGTATCTCGTGACGAGTGCTAGGAAATTTGATTGTCCTTTTTCTCATAAGAAAAAGGATAAAAAAGAAATATAAGCAAATACCTTTTCTGTACCGCTAACATTACAGTTCCGACAGATCATCTACGATCTGTTGCTTTGTTCCGTCAGTCGAAAGATCGGTGCGTTGGTCTGAATAGAATGCAATTAGCGTAATTAATGTTATTGATCTACGCCCTTCTCGTGTCTCGCTAGATTGAACAGACGGCGAATAACTGAATCGATCAGTTTGCGGAACGTAACTCGTGTAACAAGGCGTGCAAATGGTGACAGGTGTTCAAGGCTGTAAAGGCGTGACGTATATATATATATATATATAAAAGAATGTCCTCCGTCGCCGTCATCATCGTAATTTCGACAGTGTCGTGGCTTTAAACGACGTAGCATGAAAAATGTATAAGTATTTCTCTAAGAATAATACACACTCCACCCGCAACCCCTCTCCTCCTCCCACCTCCGTCACCCGCGCGTTTCTTCATTTTTTCTCTTTTACCTGAAAAATTCAGATGTTCATTTTTATTCCCTCGCGAGGAAGAGAAAAAAATTCCCTTCTCATTCGGATACTCGTAAAATACAGTGAATTCACCCAAGGGGCGAAACGTCGAATATACAAAATCCGCGGAAGGACATAATAAATTGTCGTCGCCCTTTTATCGCTCGTTTAGAGACTACATGTTAGTCTAGCGGACTCACCTGACGGAAAGGTGAAAGAAAGATGATAAAGTGGCGGCGACGAGGGCGATAAGGGATGCGTGCAAGGGAGGCGTGTTTGTTTGGCGGTATCCTCGGAGGGAGGAAATACTCTTTTTCGCCGGAAAATATACGTGTCTGCGAGCATGTGCTGAATTCGATCGAAAGAAATTATGTAAAGCGGCGCTCGTGTATGGGTAAAATTTATCACCGTAATAACAGTCATGTGTACGATATACGTATAACGTACGAATAAATAAAATGAAATAGGAAATCATATATATTTACGAGAGGAGACGCGACTCCGGCGCGTAAGTATCCGGCTTCCCCCATACGAAAACGGCTTTCTTCGCGCGAAACGAAAATCGATAATCGTGAAACAATCAGCGATTCGTGCGGCGGAATGGCGGTTATGCCATAAAATAAATTATAAATTTACACGTCGCAGCCGAGTCATCTCGCGATTACATTCCCTCCCGATACCCGATGTCTTTTCTCTTTAGGCCTTAATAACGAGACTCGCGAGCCAGCGCGAAGACTTATCGGATTTAGCGATGACATACGCTCGACGAGAACGAGAGAAGTGCGTGTAAAAAGATCCGAGACAATTTTTCAGAATTTGCGTCCTTTGGTTTAAGCGAGCTGCCGTATCACGGACATGGTCGCAATCCATTAGGGAGATAAAACTATGCAAGCATGTCCTGACGAAACGATAAAAGAGCGATCCCTGCTAATCGAGATACAACCAAACAAATAAACGACTGCTAATCGCACGTATAAAAAATAAAGATTAATCTTTGCTTCAGAAGAGTTTTCGTGAAGTCCGTATCTATTTAAAACAATTTTAACTATTTTCTTAAAGCATTTACACATTTACATATAGAAAGTTACAAATAGATTTAAATCGATTGAGATCGATTTAAATTCACATTGACGAAGTAAATAATTACATAAAATGAATATAATTATATTTATATATTTAATAACAGTGAACAACATCGAAGGAAACAGTGTAATTTTATAACTCTTTTAATTTCTGATTAAATCACGAACGGCTATTTAAGATTAAGGCTGCGACCATCATAATTTAAGAATTTAAAAGATCTTATAATTAATTATAATAAGAGAATAGAATAAACTACCTCGATTCAGACATATAAAAAAATGCTAGAATCCGAAAATTAGTGTGATTTATACAAAGGATCAAACGTGCATATCAAACGGTTATGCGCACTTGCAGATGATATCAGGATGAGGTATTAAAATTTTTGTTATAAGAGAGAAATATTATTGTAGCGTAATAATAAAGGAAGCTATAAAACGGAGAAAGAGATCGCGAGAAGAACGCGATCTAATTACAGTTTCTTTCTTCCCTTCCCTGATGTCGTTTTTTTCCCCGACATTCTGCTCTGCATTATTGTTCGCGAAAGAATTAATTAATCAGATGGAGATGACGTTTATAAAGAACGTTTCAGGCATATTGGCTCATCCTTCATAATTCCGCGATGAACTTGGGGTCGACTTCTTCTTGGGAAAAATTTGACGGAAAATCTAATTACGAGAACGTTTAAAACTTGAGAAGCTGTAAGAGCTTCTAACAATTGAATAATAATTTTTTGATAAGCTAAATTATCGGATGGGATCGATCTTAAGTAGCGCTGTTCGCCTCAAGAGGCAATCACCTTTTTATATCCGTATATATATATATATATAT